ACTTGCCAGCGTAGGCTTATACAGAGCTGCCTGTGTATCTGCCAGGCCAGCGTGCAGCCAACTGCATATGTTCAGTAGCGTGTGGATGCTTGTGTCTCCATTGGTCTTCAGGTAGGATTGCAAGCTGTGTATAAGCACCAAAAATAGCAGTAATATGGCTCAGAAACTGCCATTTGGGTGTGCACAGTGAAACAGGATTCTGCCTTTAGCATGTGTACGGCATAGACACCATTAGACAATACTTATGCATACATGACATACAAAGTGCACACAACAAAACATGTATCAAACAATCACAGTTAAAAACCCATATGGCTCTAGTATACTTACATATATTCCAAGTAAAATAAACTTTAAAATCTTTTGCAAAAGAATAAAAAATCCAAAAGACCAGTAAAATGCAGGCAAGTTTAGAAGAAAAGGGAAAAGAAACTTGCTTTTTCCCCTAAAGTTTACTGTGGTAGGACTGAGAACTGCCAGCTCACTGCCTTAATGAAATGCAAAATCACTTTGAGATACTGGGGAAAAAAGTCCTACATAAGGCTTACCTTCACCAGGGAAAGGATACTGCTTTTATTTGGCTAAGAAATCAAAACAAGCTTGGCCGGCTGCCCAGCATCATGCTATGCTTAACAAAAGCCTTGGATGCTTTTTACCAGCCTTTGCACATCCTTTTTAAAAGCGTGGTCTGTGAAAATGCCCTCCACCTTACACGGCTGTGCTTTTTTAACCCATTCGACACCACAACAAGCTAAACTTGTTACTGCTTAATGATTTAAAGCCTGGAGAATGCAACTCACAGCAGCTTGTTGGTATGGTTGGTTCCACATCGTATAATGCAGCAAGAAAATCAGACTCTAAAAGATTGCACAGTTCAGGCATGCTTACTAAGCAAAGGCGTGAGTCACTGTCAGGTTGCCCTGCTCAGTTAAATTTGGACAAGACAGTGCAACATTTACCTGATTCTTTGCAAACAAGGAGGGAATTCTGCATTTTCCAAATGGTGAGATTGGACTGTAATGGAGTCTTCGTACAAACTATGCTGAGACAGGCTCTGCTATTAGTAAGACAAAGTGGCGTTCCTTTCCCACCATTAATAATGCAGATGTGCCAATTCCATCCATGCCTACAATGGGCGTTACTTTACAGCGGACCCGTTGGCACCTATCCTGTTCATTAGGATGTGTTCCTCCCCAGCAAGTGCCTTCTTAGGAATCATGGCCTCTGGCTGCTACAACCAGTCAGACAACTCTGTAAATTCGGCAGTTTTCTCTTGATGACGCACACGCTGGAGCTTTGTTTCTCTGCCTGTCATTTACCTGCCACACTTTGAATTTTTTCTCACGGCGTTCAGTTTCTTTCTGGGTCCTCAGTGCGCTCAGGAGCTGACTGAAAGCCCAACCCAAGATTTTCTGCCCAAACTTTGTCTATGCCTTGCTCCTTGTGATTCTGGGGACTCAGCCTGGATCTTCTTCATTACCCTACCAGCCTTGAGAGATGTTTCCTTCTTGGCCCTTGAAAGGTTTTCCTGCTTGGTCCTTCCACTTTCACCACTCTGGGGGGATCCGTAGGGAAATGGGGCTAACTGTACGATGTTATCTTTTCCTACTGCTCTGCTAAATAGCTCTAAGATATTGTTACAGACCTAAGACTTCACTCACTGTGGTGTGCTCTTTCACTAGCATTTCCACCTTCTCTCACAAGTAAGGGAGTGAGATTTTCAACAAGCACAGGAAACTATCTTACGTTGTCAAATCATGAGCTGAAACTCTCAGGGAGATTCCTACATCACTTCAAATCGCTACTGCATCTGGCTGTGTGTAATCAGGATTCTCATTCTACACTCTTCAGGTCTTCAAAACTCTTACCCCTACTTTATGTGTGTCCTAAAGTGAATTGTCTAGTGCTTGATCTATCAACACACATAATTCCTTCTCTTTTCTAGCCCAAATGCATCTGGCTTCCGTATGTATGCCTAGCATATACTGTACTACCCTCTCCCTTTTTCATATGTCCTTCTGCTCTAACAAGTGCATCCTAGTGTCTTTCATGTTGACTGTGGCCACCTGATCTGCGAGCTGTCCATTCATTAGATTACTTCTGGATTATCCATCAGCTTCTACAGCTCCTCCTCTCCCTTCTGCTGCTTCTAAATTAGAGATAGAAACGAGCCGCTGTGAAGGATTCTGTTTGCTCTGAAGAGAATCGCTGACAATACTCCCATCTTGCCCATGCTTGTGGAGAGTCTCAGAGTTTTGCAGAGATTTTGGTCAGAGAAAACTGCTCTCAGGGGTGGTTAAAAAAGACATAGGAGGAGAGGCCCCATGAAAGGGTCTGCAGGGTTTGTAACAAGCTATTTTGTTCCTGTCTCTGCATGTTGAAGTTTTTGGCTGAATCAAGTGGAGTTTGTGACTAGCCACTCATTCTCCAGCTCACTCCCTGGAAAGGGCCTATTTCTGCTTGTGCCTCTACTGTGTCGCTGGACTGTGGTAGCCCTTGCAGCTGGGAGGCTGAGACCTACTCCATATTTTCCCACCGCCCCTCCTCTGCCATCTTCATTCTGAGTGATCCTTAGATCCCTTGAATTAACCTTTCCTACACATCAGTGCCATTCTGTATTCTCATTCAGTGCTAAACCTAACGCAGCCCAGTGCTCTCAGAATCTGACCCTTAAAACTTTATCTCATGTTTCTCTTTGCCTCATCAGCCTCTCTCTCCATGCCTGAGCTCTCTGGACCGCATCCAGAATGCTTTATCTCGTCTCCTAAGGCCTTCTGAAGAACCTGAACTCTTTATGTCAGTTCTAAGTTTACAGTCACTGGAGACTGAGACACAAATCCTGTTTCACGTTTATGTGCCTAAGTGCATAAAGGCAGTTTTTGGCACTTATTCAACGTTCACGCTTGTTTCAGTTTACATAATTATGCTTACCCCATGCTTCCCTTTTGAACATATTCAGAAAGCCCCACTCTGGCCATAGAGACTGTGGGGCAGAATGAAATGACTCAGCTGCATGTATAATGTTGGGTGAATTCCCTAAACTTTGGTTGGAGCAGAAACCATGACTAGGGCCTGTCTCCCAGAGGAGGTGGCTTTAGGTGACACTGACTGTGCAGTAGCTCCTTATGAATGGCTTTTAGGTGATGCCAACTGCGCGGTAGCTCATTACTACTGCACAGTAATGTCGTTTCACGCTTTGTGCCACACAGTGCTGCTGTGGAGTAATAATGAGCCACTGTGCAGTCAGCATCTCATGTAGACACTGCCAGTGATTCTAAACCAGGTTATGTGGCACCCTCGGCTGCCATGAGATGCTCCTTTTAAGGGTGACAATCAGGTGCCATGCACTGTTAGCACTGTTAGGTGTGCCAACTCTCACACACGATTTGCAAGAGAAACCCAGGAACTTTAAATAGGAATTCATTGTGTCAAAACCAGTCTGACCTGCTGCGGTCTTTCTGAGTTCATTGCAACCGAAGAATTACTCTGGTATTTTTTTCCATAGTCACAAAATGAGTGAAAGCTGAGAGCTGGCATTTTCCAGGGGGGATCCTGAGTCTAGCAGGAGGTTCCTTTGAACCTCCCTTGAACATAGTTGAAAAACCACTCCACCGAATCCTTTCTGGAGTAGCTGGTTTGCAGGGCATGGTCTCCCCACTCCCTGCCCTCCCCTGCTCCCCAGATCCTGGAGTTGCTCCCCATTCCCAGATGCATAGCTTGGCATTGCAGCACATTCAAGCTTATTTTTAAAGGCCCCAGTAGAATAACCAGCTTCATAAGCACCCACCTGCAATGCTTAGGGAGGAGTTGTGTTATCATGGGGGGTTTTAGTCTGAGTGACTCATCCCAGCGGCCTCATGCTGTCAGAACTAAAATTGTGGAGTTTGCATCTATCAGAGGTGACAATATGCAGACCTCAAAACACGGCATGTAACACACAGGGGGAAACTGTATTACAGCACAGCTTGATAGATACAGAGGAGTCAATCCCAGAACTTAAAATCCGTATAGCTTCATAATAAGTGATTGTGGCTTGATTGCTTTTGTTTTGTGTAAAAAGGATAAAGGAAGTACATCTATACTGGCTGTAGCTATAAAAATGAGAAAATCTTAAAACCATCCTTGATAAATGCAGGGAAGGAGATTCTGATGGTAATGGATTTGAATCAAGTCAGGGACTGTAGAACATGTATAATGGAAGTGAAAGGAGAAATCTCTGGCAGCAAAGTTAAGGAGTTTTTCAAGTATTTTAGGAGCAGAAAGTATCTAAACAATGGCTTTAGTCTATTACTAGATGGAAATGGTGAAATTGTTGATAATAATACAGAAAAAGCAGGCGCAATTAATTATTTTCCCCCTTGTGCTCACTGGAGAGGGGGGAACTGATGATGTCCTCATATCACAGGAAATATGTTTCATTCCCATAGTAACTCAGGAGCATATTGAAGAGTAGCTTCCTGTGGTGGATATTTTTAAGTCTGGGTAAATGGTGTCCAGTGGTTTTCAAAGAGGTCTGGGAAGTTAGGTTGGTTTCCAGTGAGTCTGGGAGTACTGAGGAGTTCAGAGGGCTGGAAGAGAGCCAGTGCCAGGGCAGGATGTGAACATGATAAAGTGACCTGAGTACGTTATAGACCTGTCAGTTGAAATACTGGAATGGCTGATATGGGACTCACTTAACATCAAATTAAATGAGGAATATGTAATTGTTAATGCCAGTTAATGCATGGTGTCACGGAGGACTCCAGGACACCAGGGGCCTACCTGGTCCTGGGCAGATTCATTGTGTTCCCAGCAAGTCACGCTATAGAGAACAGTAGGGGAGCTCTAGTTTTGGGAGGGAATGGCTCCTCCCAGTAGGCCGTGGACAGGTGTGGAGAGGACAGATGAGTGGGAAGATCAGCCTCTGCATTCCCAGCCTCTCCCTGCAAGAGGTGCTGCCTCTCAGTAGCGCCTCCGGACTTGCCTTCCAGCCCACGATGACTCTAGCTCTCTGTTTGCAGACATACTGCCGGCAAAGCCCAGCATGGGAACTTCCTGGTGGCCATCAAGCAAGAAAAGGGGGAGGTTCCCCGCACGAGCACTGAGAAGCCCCACAACGAGGAGGAGGTGAGACCTGGGCCTCAGAGCCTGGCTTCTCTGACAGCAATGCCAGGCCATTCCTGTGCTGGTTCCCATACAGTAGCCCAGCAGTGGGATATTAGGGTTCACAGCACTGCAGGAAGCAGATGCCAGTCCTAGATGGAGCTCTTTTTCTGTTGCCTACGTGCAAGATCCTTGAGCTCTCAATAACACTGCCTTCTGTACCATGCAGCCCAGACATCCCAGGGCCTTGTGCCATGGATACAGGCGAAGGGGGAACTCTTGTGGCTACAACACTGGGCTGAGAAGAGAGTCCAGAAACTCAAATCACCTGAAAAACAAAGGGTTCAGGGCAGAGGAGGCTTAGCTCTGTGCCAGTGCATTGCTTTATGTCCCTCTCTCCCCTTTGTACCCAGTAGCTTAGTGAGCTCCAGTCTAGCTTGTACATATTTATCCTCATGTCTGTCTTTCTCCTGCCCTCGGGCACTAGCCGGTGAAGAAGAGGGGCTGGCCCAAAGGGAAGAAGAGGAAGAAGATCCTACCCAACGGCCCCAAAGCCCCTGTGACGGGCTATGTTCGCTTCCTAAATGAACGGCGTGAGCAGATTCGCATGCAGCATCCTGACCTGCCCTTTCCTGAGATTACCAAGATGCTGGGAGCTGAGTGGAGCAAGCTCCAACCCTCAGAAAAACAGGTGTGGGAGGGACCAGGCTCCCAGGGGAGAGGCCACCTGCAAAGAGGATCTGGGAAACATCTGTGGGAATGAGTGCAGTACAAGATCCACACTGCAGTAGGTTCTTTAGAGAGGGGTAACCAGGGTCCCCTGGAAGACATCTAGGGAGCCCAGTCCGTAGTGCTTACCTAATATGCTGCTGCAGGAGGCTTGGGATGTGTCCTCTGCCTTGGCTACAGGGATTACACACCTTAGATTCACCTGACCAGCCACTCTGCTGTAGGCCACAGCATGGGCAACTTGTGTCTTCTGAGTCAGGGGCA